GGGGGGGGGGGGGGGGTGGTATGAGGGGAAAATCTTAAAATCCCGAGAGGGTATACGAAAGAGAAAAAAATTATATTTATAAAGTAAAACAAAAATATGTGAAATATAAGTGACTTGTATGAGCATATATGTCACATACTTTGCACATATATTTCGAGTACTACATTTTTTGCCGCATTTATATGTTGAAATATATGTGTGGTATATTTTTGAGTATACTTTAAATGTACATAATACATACGCGCGGAAGATGTCAGTAACTATTTAATGAATGTCCAAAATATATGCGACCCATTTACAGGCATATATATATATATCAGATATATAAATATTCTATAAATATTTCAATGTGTAATCAGAAAGTATCAGAAAGTACAATATATGCGACCTATATACAGATAAGGTTTACAGCAAAATAATGGGTAGTCTATTTTTATCAACTTCCTGCTAGAGAGTTATTGTAATCAACCGAAGAACAATTTTTAATTTTTTATCAAATGTCGACATTTCAAGGTTTTCCTTTATGTGTGTGTATTTTTTTGTGTTGGCTCCAGGGAAAAATGTCTACGCACGATAATGGATTTGATGGTTAGAGTCACACCCTGTGTAAGACGTGCCCCGACTAAAAAAAAACCCGTAATCCCGAAAACATTCCCCTGACCTTAGTTCTCCTCGCGGCTCCCCCGTTACACAGAAAAATTATAAAATTATTTTTTACCATGTGAACACAGTAATCGAGGACCACACTTGCCACACTCAAAATTTATTGTTGAACATAGTAGAAATTGCAAGTCGGTATAGCAGAAAGTGGCAGAATAAAAGTAAAATTTGATTTGAGACGAGTAAAATTTCGGTCAAGATAAGTCAAATTTTAAAGTTGTGTCGGTATGGTGCTCGATTGCTATGTTTACATCGTAATTTTCAATGATATTGCGCGTCTCGTTCTCGGTGATAATTATTGTTGTCATGCTTGCCATGCTTAACATCACAACGTTTAAAGCATATAAATTCAAATTTTTTGGCGCCCTCTCATCCCTAACGTGAGCCTCCTCTAACTTCATATAGTTTCGTTGTGCCGAAGCATCATAATGCCTTTTGTTATTTAATTTATAATCACCATTATTTTATTCAGTTATCAAGTAATTATGATATCAAGTCCCGGCAGGAAGGAATGCGGTACATCAAGATTTGGAAGGGATCATCGTCGGGGGAGGAAACCACGAGAAAGTGTGATAAAAATACAACACCAAGTGGATAATCTGACGAAGTGATTGAGGCGTGGATCGACTTTCAATAAGAACAAAGATCACAAACAAACCCACAAAAAACATCACTGTTTATCCCAAAATAATCGATGTATATTAATTCCACATGAAGACATCCTCAACTGAGAGAGTTTATTCCTATCTCAAAAATTCCACACGAATTTTGAGAATCAGCATCCACAACGACTCTGATGGTCCACACGACTATATTCACAGTTGAGAGGCCTGAATATAATCTCAAATATTCCACACAATTTTTGAGCAACAGTGTCCAAACGACTCTGAAAAGGCTGGGATTAATTATTGAAGAAAATATTACTACACGACTCTCATGGTCCACTCGACTATATTGTCAGGTAAGAGGCTTCATTATAACCTCAATATTCTACACGAATTTTGAGAAACAGTGTCCATATGACTCTAAGGGTCTACACGAGTATATTCTTAATTGAGAGGCCTCATTAGAACCTCAAATATTACACACGGATTTTGAGCTACAATGCCCAAACGACTCTGATGAAGTTAGGATTAATTATTCAAGAGAATAATATGTCGACACGATTCTATCCTCGATTGAGAGGCCTCATTTCAATCTCAAATATTCCACACCGATTTTGAGAGGCAATCATCATACAATTGTCCAAGAGAATGGATTGTCCATACGACTATATTCTCCGTTGAAAGCCTGCCTCTATTTAATCTCAAATATTTCATGCGAATTCCGAGAGTCAAAGCCCAAACGTTAAGGTTATTATGATGGATTCATTCAAAAGAATGATTTGTCCATATATCTGTATTCCTAATTAAAAAGCCTCATAATAATTATAAATATTTCACATCAATTTTGAGGATCAGTGGCCAAACGACCCTGATAAAGTTATTCTGGGTTTGTCCATAGAATTATTTACCCACACCATTTTCTCTACTGAAAGGTATTCTATCAATCTTAAATATTCCATACGAATTTCGAGAATGAAGGTCAAACCAAAGTTGATCAGATTATTATAAAATCATTCAAGAGAATAATCTTAT